CAAGCAGGCGCCCATAGTCCTGCCCCAGGTAGCGCACAGCGTTCTCGTGCTGCCCCAATCCCAGCGCCTTGGCCCGCTGCCGCTGGACCTGTGCCGAGACGCCGGTGCAGTACACGGGCACGATGGGCGGCTCCGCCATCCTGGGATGTGGGAAACAGCATGAAATGGGGAAAACCAGGAATATCGAGCGCCAGAACCACCTTTGCTGAGAGGATCTGGGGGGCAATCGGGGGTTTTGGGGAGGAATTGGGGAGATATGGAGAATTTGGGGGGGGATTTGGTGGGTTTTTGGGAGGGATTTGGGGATTCTTGGGGTGGAATTATGGATTTCTTGAGGGATTTTGGGGGTATTCAGGGATTTTAGGGGGAATTTGGGGATATTTGGAGGTGATAAGGGGGTTTTCAGAGGGATTTTAGGAGGAGCTTGGGGATATTTTGGGATTTGGGGAGGATTTGGCCATCTAGTTTTAGGGGATTTGGGGAGATTTGAAGAATTTTGGGGGGGACTTGCAAATTTAGAGGGAATTTGAGGATTTTTTTGGGGAATTTAGGGGTATTTGGGGAGGAATTTGGGTTTTGGGGGAATGAGGGAATTTTTTAGTAGGTCTGTAGGTTTTTGTGGGAATTTGGGAATTTGGTGGGGGGTTGAGGGATCTTTTGGGCAGGATTTTCCCATTTGGGGGGGGATTTGTGAATTTTTGGGAGTGTTGGAGGATCCTGGGAGGGATTTAGGGGGAAATTTGGGGCTTAGGGGATATTTAGGGGCATCTGGAGTGGATCTGGGGACCTTTGCAGGGGAATTTGGGGTCGGCTTTAGGATCCCCCAGGAGCAGCTTTGACAAGAAAAGGGGGATTTTGCCCCAACCCCCCCCCGTTGGGTGTAACTAAACTCGAGCGCTTCTGATCCCACAGAGATCTTATTTTGGGGGGAACCCCCCCTAAAATAAGCAGTAACCCCCCAAATGTGGAGTCCCACCTGAGCCACATCGGGGTGATTCGGGTGAACCCAACGCTGCCGTTTTGGGACAAAACCCCAGAATTCCGGGAGCGGGGAAACCCCCGCTCCTTTCACCTCCCCACCCCCCCTTGCAGCAGCTGCTCCCTGTCTGTTACCCAGCAAGCCCCAAATCCTCATGTTTCACCTCAAAATGTCCCCGGGGGGATGAAGCAAACCCCAATTATGGGAATTCCAGCATTAGGGAAGCCCCAAACGGTGCCGGAACCAAGGGAAACAGCCTCAGGAACTGGAGGCGTGTGCCGGGGGCCGTGGCTCAGCCCCGGGCGCCCCTGAAGGCCTCAATGACACCCCGGGGTGCTTCATTAAGCACAGAGAAGTTAATGAGATGCTCATTAGGGCAGCTGAGGGAGTGCCAGGGTGACAGCGGTGCTGGGTCCCACCAACACAGCCCCAGGGCGGGGGGGGGGCCGCGGCGGGGGGGGGGGGGGGGGTCTGTCACCCCAAAGGCCAGCACAACACTTGGTGGGGAGGCAGAGCTCCCAAAACTAGGGATTATGCCCCAAAAAAGCACTAATTACCCCCAAAATAAGGGGTGGGAGAAGGCTCTAATTCCCCCCCACCCACACCCCAGAGCAGATTTGGGGAGGGCACAATTGAGGCCTAACTCATGGGACACCCCCCCACCCAAGGTGGGACCTGTCCCAAAACATACGTTTTTTGGCACAGGAGGACCAAACTCGGCTCTTTTCAGCCTGTTTCCAGGGTGCTGGTGCCCCGGCAGGTGCCGCGGGGCTGAGCCTGGGCCCGGTGACGGCGGCACTTCGGCGACCGCCTCCCCTCTGGTGGCACTAGGGAGAAAAAGAGCATAAAGCAGCAAAACCTGACTCAATTATGAGCAAAACCACTTAAAACCATCCAAGATCTCCCATTTTCCACCCTCCCCAGGGTTGATAATCCCCAAAAAAGCACTTTTTGAGGGTAAAACAAGGATTGGGGGGGCGGGAAGGACACAAGGGACCCCCAAAGCTCCCAACCCCTTCCCAGTG